CTTGAGATACAAGAAATCACGTAAAAAGGAAACTGAAACTGCCTGAACTCGAGCTGAAACTGAAGCAGAGTAGAGCGATGCAGATACAGATACTGATAGGCCACCATAAATGTTTATCTATAAGAAATGTGACAAAAAAGAGCGAATAGAAACTGTCGAGCAGGAATGCTAAGGCTAGGTTTTCCGAGTGTTCAAGTGTAGGCTATTTGAAAAGTCAAAATACTTTATAAATTAAGCTGGAACGTGCTGTCTATAGTCTAATTTAAAGAAATCCTTAAAAATTATCTCTATAAATAGTGTACAAGTTTAAGGATTTAAATTTTCGACCGATGTATGCTTCCATTTTTGCAAAAAAATAATTTATCAGGACTTTAAACGTCAGACAGTTGGGGAAAGACCCCGAAGATAAGCGAATTTTGGTTTGCATTTTTCGGTTTGGACTTTTGAACTATTGAATTGTTATGTTTAAATTTACCAGATTCAAAGAATAGAATGAAACGAAGCAAAGAATAAATAGGGGAAATAAAAGAGCCAGCCATTGAAGAGGCCAAAGCGAATAGAACTCGACACGAAATCGGTTCAGGGCCTTTTGCCGTAGATAGTCCGAATCGCTTCCATTCCCGCTGCCCTGATACGCCAACCCGAACCAGAGACCCTATTTATCAGCGTGCTTCAGTATTACCTTCTTGACTTACTGATACTCGTATATATTTGGTTTATTTACTCTACTTACGGAACAAACCGGGAACAAAGGTTGAACCCTGTCGCTCTCTCGAGGAGGGGGCGCGATAGGAACAGAGCAGAGTTTGCATAAAGGGCAAGGGGGAAGTCAGCTGGTCCCGCGGCTTATTTGGTTTTCAAATGAGGTCAAAAGAAATAATAAAATTCGGCTGATAAGCCGCACTCCCCAATTGGACCTATGCAAGTTTTATTTCGAGGGTCGAAATCAACTATCGGTGATTGCTTGCGTCAGAGGTTAGGGGTATTTAATATTTTTTATTTCGTTTTTGGGATTTTTTCTCAAGGTCTAGACGGTCCAGTATATGACCCATCAAAGGCAGCTGTTTGGGTCACAAAATCTATCACAATTGTAATTATGGCTTGTTGCATGGTACACTCGTACTATTTATTTGCTGCTGGTGTATGAAAAATGGTCACATGACAGGTCGGCGGCAGCTGTGTTTGCCAGAATTCGAATACGTATACGTACGTATCGCACTCAATGGCAATGAACTTTACCGCTTTACCCAGAACTCTGTGCACCCGCGTTCCTAAACTTTCTATGGTGTGAATGTGATTGTGAATGTGACTGTGAACGTGCCCGGTCCTAAGTTTCGATGTCGGCGTCGTCTATTAGTACTATTGACACTTGTCGACCCAACGACGACCAAAAGGTGGCCTGTCACCGTGCGGATCGCTCACAGATACTCGTACTCAGATACCCAGATACTCAGGTATATGGGCACGGTGGGGAAAAAACATAACGTCCAACTGGAAAAAGTCAACAGTGTCGCGCATGGCACATGTTGGGTCGAGGTTTTTTTGCTTCCCCATAGCTCCCCCTTTCTCGTACTCCCGTATCGGGTCCGCCTTCCATCGTCATTATCATCATCATCGTCATAATGATCTTCACCATTCGACATTCGGCACTTAGCACCATTGGCACCAAGCAATGCCAATCAGGGGTCTATGGGGATCGCGATGACCGAACGAAGCGGTACAGTGGGCCGATGGTATTAGAAAATGCAGTTAAAAAATTAAATAATGCGAACTTATGCAATCTATTTTTAAGAGGTGTGTTTATTTTTTAATACCTACAATTCTTTCATGTAAGGCACGTAAGATAAAAGGCAGTAAGAAGTACAGAATTTTCTCCTAAATTATCAATAGAGAAATAAATAAACCTCTTTTCAACTGATGTTCTTGGTTTTCAAGAGACCTAGACTTGGGATAATTGTATTGTAAAATTCGCACAACTAAAAACATGACTAGTCCAAATCCGTTCGCCTTCCACTGCTCAACCACTTTGGGGCGGTTGATTTTGGTTTTTTCAATTTTGTTGTTCTATACCCGCAACTTAATTTCTATGCTAACTAATGATAAACTTAATTTTATGATAACGCATGGACAACTTATTAAACAGCACATATATAGGCATATTCCGAACTCCAAACTGAAGGGTGAAATCTGATATGAAGCAAATCGGCAGGGGAGCTTTCGTTCTGTTGACCAAAACCTAAACCAATGCAATCCCAAGCTACGATTCAGGTTCTGTTTTGATTCGGGCTCCGATTGTTGGGATCGTAACGAGCTTAAAACTACAAATTGTTGTTAATTTCGCTTGTAAATATTTCATTTAATTATTTATGCTGTGTGCTTTGGCTGCCAAACATGCGAGCGAATGGATCTGGCACCAGTTGTGCCCGTGAGTATATGGATGTAGGTATGGGTATTTGGGTAAGACTTGGTTTGTGGGCCTGCGACTGAGACTGGTGTGGCTTGGCTTCCATCAATTTACACCTACTGGCTGAGAGGGTTCCGATAGCTCCTTCACTTGGCCGACGAACAGGTAAAGGTCAATGCTTGTGCACGCATTGATACACGTATTTGCTTTTTATTTTTGCCAGTTAAATTACAATTAAATTATTTATGTGCGAGCCAAAGTAAATAGTCAATTCTGGCTGATCCGAAAATTGGGAATAAATGCCTAGGTAAATAAACAAATTATTTGCTCTGCCTGTGCGAGGGAAGTTAAAACCGCACCATAAAAGTTAAATGTATGCGAATTGTTTATTGACTTTGAATATCTTTATTAGTGCTTGCGCTTCTTTCTATGTTTGGGACCTTTCTATGTAAGATGTAATAAGAACTTCTTTCTTGCTACTATTAAAGCTATGTTTTTAAGAAAGCATGTCTTTTAAACAACTCAACATTTTTCCGATCACTTCTCCTTCTCGAATTCTCTTAACCCCTAAAAAGTGTTCTTATCTCTAAGTAGAATGCGTACGCTTGTTGATGTCACCTAACTCCCTATTTCAGTAAGCTTTTGTTGCGACTGTCTGGGCTTGCTGCTGTTTGTCTGTTTGTTTAATGATTGTTTTTTCCGGGCCCTGTAACTGTTCGAATCGCACTCCGTCGTACTGTGCACTTCGCGGCCCCTGGCTCACCCCGATAATTAGCTTAAGGGTTCAACGATGCAGGTCAATGGTTTTGTTAACATATTATAAGTTATTTTAACCTTTGGCCGATTTGCATGCGCGTCGCAAGCCACGAGCTTTTTTACACCACAATGTATTTGGCTCAGTCTATGGGTGCGTGTCATTGCGAGTGTATTCTTGTGGGAGCTCTACTAGTTCCGTGCACGGTTAAAAATTTAGTTATTTAAATATTTAAAGTGTAAAGTTTTTGTTGGTAAGCTTTGAATTTTAAATTAAAACATTAAAAATGTTAATGTATACTCTTAAATATTTGTTTAAATTTATATTGTTTTGCTGACAAGGTAATAAATTGCATGGAGACCGAAGATAAATAATCTTAAATTATTAAAAAACGCGAATTCTTTGGAGGAGTATGACCGTAAAGAAATCCCAGCTCAAAACCAAGTTTAAATCGTTCAGCGGGACGGGGGTTCTCTATCAGAAGCCAATATAAGCCAAAAAATAAAAATCAAATTTTGAAATAATTTTTTGTTGCATAATTACAACCAGTCATGTTTTTTAGCCATTTCACGCTATGTTTGGTCCGATTCCAGGTAACGCACCCACCGACATACTGCAACAGAAGCCAGCTAAGGCCACCACCGCCATTGTGGGCGGTCGCAGCGCAGCCCAACCGGCGACCCACGAGGACCAGCAAGCGGCCACATCTTCCACGTCCGCGAAGACAGCCACCAAGAGGAAGCATCTCGAGCGCCTGGCCAGCGATCTGCAGCGGCAGCTGGGTCAAAAGGGCACGAGTAGCGGCAAAAGCCGGAGTCGCTCGATTAGCCCCTGCAGACTCCCCACCGTTGCGGAAACGGCCAAAATGCTCAGCGAGCGATCGCTGCTGCTCAGCGGTTATGGGGCCATCGATAGCAGTGCCAAGAAAATGAGCGAAGCGGCCACCGGTGGCTCGAGTGGTGGGGCGGTCAGTCAGGCCGCAACGCCTACGCCCACCGCTCATTTGGGTGCACCAGCCTCCTCAGCCTCCTCCTCCTCATCGTCGTCCTCCTCCGCCTCCGCCGCCACCACTGCCTGCACCACCAATGCAAATACGGCATCGATGGCTGCTGCCTATGCCGCTCTGTACTTGGAAAAGGTCAAGCATGAGAAGTTGTCGCCGCTGCAGATGGACAGTCACAAGGATGCGCCGATGGTCATTATACACAACAACAACAACAATAACACCATCAACAACAACAACAGCAGTAGCGGCAGCGGCAGCAGCAGCAGCAGCATTAACAACCATCAGTCGAGTCAACAACAACATCTGGGCCACAGCGTCAAAAGGGAGCGGCTCAGTCCAGGGAGCAACAGCAGCAGCCACAACGGCGAACTCACCGTCAGCTCATTTGCCAGGTGAGTAAGGGGAAGTTATAGTTCCCTCCTTCCCCCGCCTTTCCACCTCCCAGATATTGCCCATTGAATCATTGATTTATTAAATCATTCGGATACGTAATATAATCGTGACCCACGTGATCTGTTTGAAATGATTCAGCTTAGATGAACTTATAAGAGCAAAGCTCTTGAACTCCCCTGTAGACAAAGTTTCCCAAAAAACGAGATAAATAAATATATACACATATTTCAAATAGCACCTAAGAATTCAAAACTAAAAAACTTCAAAAAATTTATAATAATTCTTTTTGTTTGGTTACAATAGGTTAAATATTGTTCCATTGGAATTTAAATGACTAAAGAAGTTAAAAGAACATTAAAAAAAAAATCCGAAAAACAAAGACTAATATATAGGTATTCCTGAAACCGATTTTTTTGAACAAGTGTTCTATTTTCTTTTTATTTTTGTAGCTAAAGAGTGTTTCCAATTTGTAGAATTTAATCAAACTTTGACATCTACAAAACTGGAAAGTATTGATCCATTAGTGATGAACTGATGCCTATGACTTGGATAAGGTTAAAGTGACAAGAACTGTACCTAAGTTTCTATTTGGGTTTGTTCTGTTCCTGAGTCTTTGGTTGGGTTTCTGCATGATCCTCATCCTCCGTTTCCGACATGTTGCATTGCTCACTGTGGTGCAAGTGATTGTAATGCTCCCGCCGCATCTCGAGGAATCTCATCCTTCGCCGTTGGCGCTGCTCCGGGGTCTCGCCGGCCACGTTATCCATACCGGTTTCTGGCAACGAAATAACAATCGAGGGAGCATTCGAGATATCGGGCCTAGGAGTGTTGATGGGTCGCAGAATCGAGGGCGATGCGCTAATGGACTCGTCCAAACGGGGCTCGTCCTGATTGGGATCTTCATTCTGACTAGTTTCGTCCAACTGCTCTGGCAGATCATTCTTATCCTTGTCAGACATATTCTAGAAACTGCTCTATGAATATTATTTGGTAATAAATCACAAAAATTTCACAGCCATGTTGATTTGGGAAAGGGGATAGATTTCCCCAACGAACTCGTGTCTCTGAGCTCCATTTATCAAGCGAATTCGACGGCTGTCGACGCCTGACAAATTAATTAACATTTTAATAAATTAATACCTCGAAAAGAAACCAAATCGATGCGGCTTCTGTTCGCAGCCAAGAGTAAATTAATCAAAACCAAGAAACAAAAAGCAGCCAACACGAATGTGTCTACACAAGAGCACGCTTTTGCTGTCAAAAAGGGGCAATAACAAAGAACCCGCCAAGAAAAGGAAAGAAAAACAACTTGAAAAACTTGAAATGTAAATACAAATAAGACAAAAAAATTAATAAGGCCCAGAGACAACGACTGAGATAAAGACAAAATGTGATTTGACAAGCGAAATCAACAGCAATTAATACGCTCAACTAAATTAATGGCGTTAAAGATTATATATTAACTAATGTAAATAAAGGCGATTTATCTCCCAAGCGCAAAAAAAGAAGAAACAAGAAACCTAAACAAGCCTTAGGCCGCAGAACAGATGGATACAAAGATACATAGATAGTAGTTGGGCGATATGTTTTGGGCAAACGACTGTCCATATTAATATTAATGAGACATGCTGGTCTATCGCCACCTGAGGTGTGGATGTTGAGTGGTATTCGGACTTAACATATTCGATTCGCATCTGGTGGTCGTCTGAAAAGGTTGGATTAGCCGCATAATTTTCATAATTTATAATTGTTTATCCACAAATTAGGGAGGCTTATTAAGGCAAGTTGCAGATGCCTTAATACGATATGACAAATGAATGTCTTAGGGCTAGCCAAAGATCTTGTCTGCTGACTGTGTTTATATCATAAATAAAGTTCAGACTATCGAAGAATTAATGCAAATGAAATGCGAATTATCATCTGTCGAACACGCCTGACCAAATGTTTCCCAAGTTGGGATTCCCAACATTATAGTTCTTGGCATAACTTTATTTTCCTCAGTTCCCATTCACAAAAATTTGATTTCTGTCTGCTTCATTCAGTTTGGTTTGACCTTTTGGCGATATTTCTATTTTATTTATTAGATTATTTGCATATTTAAACCTTGGGTGTAAAAGCATTAAGACACTTAAAAGTGGAATTTCTAATTGTGGGTTTTAAAAGCTTTTGTCAGACTTCTTCTTGTTCAAAAGGGTGCAGTATTATATCATGTATCAACATAACCCGACAAAATACACTTTTTTTCTTGTTCTTTTGTCTCTTGATTTCTTCTTTTGCGGAACATTTCGTCAACAAATTCTGTTTTGGAGCTATGGATATTCAGATATATTTAAATAGATTCAGACAGTGGGTTTCAAAACTTTAAATCTTTTTTGCAATCTGAATACTAGCTTTTTTTTAATATTTAGTTATCTGTAGTTTTTAGGATAAACGAATTTTAACATGCGCCACTATATAATCTTGATTATCTAGTAGGAATTCCAATTTGGTCGAATAAATATCTAAATATCTGTAAGAGTTTCGTACCGCACTGTACCCACATACATTTATTTTTATTAGGGACTTATCGGGCCTTGTGTAGGCGTAACAATAGACACCATTTGCATACCGGGGCGGGCACATGTTGCCGGTTGTATAATAAAAACCAATTAGGCATGCCACCGATCTAAAAATCGAAGCCAACCAAACCGTTAGACACACATCGAGATTAGGTGAAGTCGGGACTGGGGGATCAGTAGCAGCAGCCAACATAATCGCCACCATAAACCATTTTTTCTGGCTTTTTTTTTGATCTGGTTGCTGTTCAAACAATTGCCAAGAACAAGCAAGAAAACACAACTAAGTAGCTGCTACCAATCGCCAAAGCAATTTGCAATAATCAACATTTTTAACAAAACCGAAAAAAAAGTACTAAAAAAGATACAACAAAAAAAAACGAGACAAAAAAGAACAACAGAGTTGTAAGCAGCATAGGCAACAACGAACCGGCAACGAACAAAATAACAGCAACCAAAAAAATCGACAACCAACAGATCACGATAAATCAATGGCAACAACAACAGGAAAACAGGGAGCGTTGCAGGGGCGGGGGAGGTGGAGGATTGCGAGGGGAGCTGAAGCGGTACGGGGAGCTGGGCGGCAGGCTGCTATATATAAATTTGTGCCGCAGCCTCCGAAAGAGCGACACGACATGACCAACGACCAGCGACCACGACGTGCAGCACGAGTTACTCTCTTCTGGCCCGTCCATGCCACAACCACCTAGCCATGTGGCATGCAACCAGTGATGCTCACTTTTTACTAGAAATACTATATTTAGTACCTACAATTTTTATACAAGTTTTGATTGCTTAAATTTAAGGTCAAGTGATAAATTAAATGTCTTATATGAACGTATTTGAAATACCATATTTTTTAATTTTTCAGAGTCAACTCTTCAAAAACAAATGCAAAAATTTCGAAAATGGTTTGCCTGATAGGTATTACCTATAGGTAAAAGATATTTGGAAAATTTAACATTTTTAAGCTTTTATTATAATAGCTTATAACTATTTAGAATGGAAGAGTTATGCTGGCATCTCTGGTGGCATGCAACACAACGCTTTGGCGGAGCTGAAATAGAGGCAGGCACTTGCAGCTGCCACTGGCTGCGGCATGGCTTGGCTTAGGAGGTGACCGCTGCCACTGCCGATCTGGCCACAAATCTATTCTGATTATTTTCTTTTTGGCCAGCCTTGCCTTGGTTTGGCTCGTGTTGGAGTGCTCTAGGAATGGCTAATGGGTGGATATTGAGAGGTGGTTGGGGGAGGGGGAGGACAGCGAATGCTCCATGTTGGTGGCATGTCTCCAGTGGTAGTTGCATATGAGTTATGGCCATGCCAGCCAGATTGTAGTCCACAAATGCTCGACATTGGTAAACATGAATTGTTTCGTTTCGCTGCGAGAGCATCCAAAATGAATTGTTTAGGAAATGTTCTCGATTGACTAAAAAAGATGGAAAAATAACCAAAAGAATTATGGGTAGATTACCAGAATTACCAGAAAGAGGGGACTTAAAAAAAAGTAAAATATTAAAATTAAAAGTGTAATTATATTGTATTATTTATATTCCGTACCTATTTATTTAATATAATTTTATATAATGAGTTTATTATATATTATAAACTCAAGAGTTTGTATCCTTACGGTTGCAGCCTATATATAAATTAAACTATATACCAGATTTAATTATAACATTGAGGTAACACTCCCAGGCTTTTCATCTGAATACCAGTTATTGGACTCCTATCCACAAGCAGCTCCTAGCAAAAGAGTTCCCATGTCAAATCGTATTTGTAATCGCATTATGGCCAATGCCTTGCCACTTCTTCACAGAATCTAACTAAGTATCCACAAGATCGTATTCGCACCTGGTTGAAACTCTTGGGAGCTTTTTTTTTGAGGATACAAGATCTCACGGAAGCCACTCATTAGCATGTCAAATAAGCCAAGAGAACTTGGCTCAGATGCTGGCGAAGAGCTCGCAGAATGACAAATAATCCAATTGTATGCGACACCTATTCGGTCGTTGAATGAAAACTCTAGATAATTAAATATTAATGCAAATTTATGAGAAATGATGGGCTAGAATGGCGTAAATATATCACGCTGATGTCATTCACTCTCCCACTTATGCAACATCTGCTAAATGTTGTCTTTAACATAGCTAATCGACCTTTTCTTTTTTATTTTTTTGGTCACAGATCTCGCAGCGCCACGCCCTCCTCGTCATCGTTTCGAGGCGGTGGTGTCTCACCCAGCCAGCAACAGCAACAACAACAGTCCCAGCAGCAACAGCAACAACGCTTAAGTCCGCCCAGTGGCCCATCAACGGCAACAGCAACAGCAACATCAGCAGCTGCCGCGACACACATGCCGCTGCACAATTTGTCAACGAATTTGCTAAATAGCATTCAACAGGCTGCAAGTCAGCAACATCGCACCAACAGCAACAGCAGCAACATCAGTGGCAACAGCAGCAGCACCGCCAAAACAGAGGGTGGTGCCGCATCGAATGCCACGGATTTCTCCACCCGCAACTATTCGGATATTATGCGGTGCCTGGCGGCCAAGTACAACAACACGAATCCCAATGAGTAAGTTTTGTAGCATTAAACAGCGTAGAGAAAAATCAAATTGGCAATACTGTAAGACATTTTTGAACATTTCATAATAACAATGAACAATGAAAAAGGCACATTGATGAATATTTTGACAACAGGGTTATATTAGGACCAATCTTTACTAAGAAATAATTTATACATTTGTTTAATTACTCTTTTATCTATTACCGGTTACTCGTAGAGTAAAAGGTTACATTGTATTCGTGCAAAAGTATGTAACAGGGAGATGGAAGCGTTTCCGACCCTATAAAGTATATATATTCTTGATCAGGTTCTCTAACCGAGTCGATACAGCCATGCCTGTCTGTCTGTCTGTCCATCTGTCTGTCTGTCTGTACGAACGCTGAGATCTCGGAAACTACGAAAGCTAGAAAGTTCGGATTATTCTTCGGCTTCCTACGCAGCGCAAGTTTATTTTAGCCGAGAGCCACGCCCCCTTTAACGCCCACAATCGGCCACAAACAATTTTAAAATGTGTTTGGCGCCCACATTTTAAAAGATTTCAAAGAAGTATAAATGTAATTTTGTTGTGTTTATTTATACCTATCGAAATGTAGAAAACATTTTTTCAAATCGAACCATTCGTTAAAGAGTTGTGCCCAATCAAAGTTATATATCTCCATCTCCCTTGCACTCCCTTTAGCTGCGTAACGGATATCTGATAGTCGGGGCACCCAACTACAGCGTTTTCTCTTGTTATACCCCTTACTCGTAGAGTAAAAGGGTATATTGTATTCGTGCAAAAGTATGTAACAGCTAGAAGGAAGCATTTCCGACCCTATAAAGTATATATATTCTTGATCAGGATCACTAGCCGAGTCAATCTAGCCATGTCCGTCTGTCTGTCCGTATGAACGCTGAGATCTCGGAAAC